CGGCAGTGGCAGTGAGCTGGTGGAGAGGCCTGGGTTTGGACTTTCTGCGGGGTATGGTATGGTACCCTCGCGCAACCCACCTCGAGACCATACCCCCCCGCCTGCTGACAGACCCAGCCTCCCGGAGACCGGGGATGGGCGGTCAGGACCATACCCCCCCACCCTTTGGGCCGCGAGCCCACCATACCATACCCCGGAAAAAGTTGGAACCCTGATGCTCTCGCCCGCTTTAGGGCCGATTTAAAAAGAATTTTAGGCCGAAAAAGAATTTTATAAGAAAACTCCCTCGCACAACACTGGGCACGGGACTGGCGCGCACTGGCACTAACACAGGCATAAAAAGAATTTTACAACTTCTCCCTCGCCGACGATAAAAAGAATTCGCGGAGACACTGGGCATGTTTGCAGCCTCTCTGGTGTCGCTGCTGGCGCCGGTGCTCCTTCAATCAACGTCCTTCGGTGCTGGGCCTCCGCAGTCTGGTGTCCCTGGACGCTCCACCTGCAAACCGCTGCAGCAAGTCTCTGTGTGCAGACGCTGCATTGACCATTGTGAGGTGACTGCGACCACTTTCGACGAGGGGGAATGCGCGTGTTTTTTTTCGTATTGGCTCGAGCGGAGAGGCCCCGCCCTGTGCTGCCAAATACGAATATCTCCATCATATCTGTGCACTGTGGCGATGCCGACTTTTCCCCACATAGTATGAAGCACACGCGTGGCGACCTCCACCCACACCAGACACTCTCTCTCGTCTCGCCACGTACCTCTCGCGCCGCGCGCGCACCCTCTGCGCCTTGCCCCCACCCACTGCTAAGTAAGGGCGTCCTCCTCGTGTGACGTGTCGTCCCGACACCCGGCCAGCCCCGGCTAGTCCAGGCCCTGGGCAGGGGCCGCCGCCGCGCCCCGCCCTCCTCCTCTGGGGCTACATGAAGGTGCAGCACTGGTTCTGCTTCTTGGCCGTCTTGAAGAACATCTTCGACGAGCCCGACAGGTCGTTGGACTTGTTGATGAGCGTCTCGATCTTACACCCTCTCTCCAGCGCCGCCTCGATGGTCTCGTGGAGCACCTGCGCACCGCCGCAGCAAGGCAGGAGGCGTCGGTGAGGCGAGGGCGGCGGGCCAGGCCCGGGTGCAGTGAGCTGTCGAGGGGAGGCGGCGTGCGGGGTTGGGGCCCAGAGGCGTCGCACCACCCCCCTCCCTCTCCTTCGGACTCCTTCGGAGGAGGGGCAGTCTCTCGGGCCAGGCGGGCGGGCAGGGGCGGGGACACATCTCGGGTGTATCTCGGACACATCTCGGGTGTATCTCGGACACATCTCGGGTGTATCTCGGACACATCTCGGGTGTATCTCGGACACATCTCGGGTGTATCTCGGACACATCTCGGGTGTATCTCGGGCACATCTCGGGTGTATCTCGGACACATCTCGGGTGTATCTCGGACACATCTCGGGTGTATCTCGGACACATCTCGGGTGTATCTCGGGCGTGTCTCGGGTGTATCTCGGACACATCTCGGGTGTATCTCGGACACATCTCGGGTGTATCTCGGGCGTGTCTCGGGTGTATCTCGGGTGTATCTCGGACACATCTCGGGCGCGTCTCGGGCGCGTCTCGGGCGTGTCTCGGGCGCGTCTCGGGCGTGTCTCGGGCGTGTCTCGGGCGTGTCTCGGGCGCGTCTCGGGCGCGTCTCGCACCAACTTGGTCTTCTCCAGCTCTGCCATGATCTGCGTCAGCTGGTCCGCCTGCCCCGGGTCCTGGAACTTAACCAGCAGCTCCTGCGGAGGCGCAGAGGAGGCACCACGGGGGGCGGGCGGTGGGGGCGGTGGGGGCGGTGCGGGCGGTGCGGGCGGTGGGGGCGGTGCGGGCGGCAGCGGGGTGAGCGGCGGGAGGTGGCGAGCGGCGGGCGAGCGGCAAGAGGCGCCTGGTGCTTTGCAGCAAACAGCGCCTCGTGCGGCAGGTCGGCAGTGCCTTTGGGACATGTCGCGGACATGTCACAGACATGGCGCGGAAGCGGCGTGCGAGTGCGCGAGAGTTTTGGGGGTGCCGCAATCGCCGCGCGACTGCGGCACCGCCAGCACGAAGTCCTCGCACACCTGCCGGGCACTCGAGGGAGGGTGAGAGGGACGAGGGCTTCAGGTGGGTGGGTGGTGAGAGGGCGTCATCTCTCTCTGCCTCTCTGCCTCTCTCTCTCTCTCTCTCTCTCTCTCTCTCTCTCTCTCTCTCTCTCTCTCTCTCTCTCTCTCTCTCTCTCTCTCTCTCTCTCTCT